ATTTTCAAATTGATTACTTCCTTCCTTTCTTTTGAAAGATTCTCTCATCCCTTTTTTTTGTATCAGATGGAGTAGTAGAAAGCCAAAAACTTTCTTTCCCAAAAATTAATCACTCCTAAAAATATAACCCCTTCAATTCAAATCAATATTGTGAGTGATGATGAAATCTTCAAGCAAGTCAAACCCAGTGAATAGAGACCTTACATTAAGTCATAGTTAGATTATTGAAAAAATAAATAGGAAAAAGTTGAAGTAATATCAATATAAATTAAATCTAATATCTATAAAAGTGAACGAGTACTTATTAGTGAATATTATGGGAACGGGTTTTCATAGCTTTTTCAGTATGTTTGGTGGGAACTTTCTACTTTCTTGGTTGGTCCTGCTGATGACGGTGTGGACTCTGAATGATGTAGCTTCTTTGGTGGTGATATAGACAATAGTGGCTTTTTTATAGGAGACAGGTGATCGAATGAGTTGGGGTTGAAGGGACGCTATTCGGCTTCGGAGATTTGTTTCCTTGGGTCTCTTCAAGATGATGAAGGTCATTCGGAGAATATTGCGATGAACCCACAATCAATCTATTACCTCTAATGTATGCGTTGGAGTTTCCTTTATGCTGATCAAGATGTTTTTTCAGTACCTTAAAGTCTTTTCCATTGTTTCAGTGTCAGATCGTGAGCAATCCTAATACTTTTGTTCCTTTGAGGTTTTTCACTTTAAGAAAAACTTTTTTCTTAGATAGGAAAGAAATAAATTCAACCTTAACTGGAGAATTATCGACCTTTCCTAGGCAGTATACGTTATTGATGTCTTGTTCACAGATATCGACCCTAAGTAAATTATTTAGCTCGCTGCAGATGAATTCAACAGTGACTTCAGAGCATTTTCTATTCAGTCCAAAAATAATGATATTATTAGTTCTAATATTTTTTCAAGGGTCTCGACTCTATTCTTCAAAAATTTATTTTCAGTTTAAAAATAATGATATTATTAGTTCTAATATTTTTTCAAGGGTCTCGACTCTATTCTTCAAAAATTTATTTTCAGTTTTCAATGAAACAATTCTATCACGCATTTCTTCGATTTTGAGCAAAAGTCTTGTTTCACTGGCAGCAATCACATTTTTGAGCTCATCTGTGTTTTTATTCAATTGCTCGAGTATAATATGAACTGCAGTATCATCCATTCCCAGAAATGTTGAATTGGATTATTAATAGTGTGGGATCACCTTAAGTGGAATGTATATATCCGTTTTTATCTTTTTTTTTCTCGCTATCAGATTACTTTTTCTGGAGATTCAACTATGTCGTCCGAAATATTCCATGCAGGTTATGAACGGGTTATACAGTTTTTGATTTAGGACATTTTGACTTTGTGGCTGGAAATCACTAACAATTATATGGATTTGTCGAACATTTTCAATGAATATTTCCAATTGACTCTCTAGATTTTCCAAAGAAGACGTCATTTTGCACTGCCTTTGAAAGTAAAATAGACTCAGTAACAATAATCACGAACTGTACTACTATGCATGTAGTATCTGATAATCTGATACCAATTTGCCAATTCCGAAGTCTACTTGTTGCCAATCAAGTCTTCTTCTCAATTTGCGTTTTTAGTGATTACTTCTTCTTCCTTACTCAGTAAGCAATGTTACCACCAATTAAAAGCCTTTAGATGGGAGTGTCTCCCAGCAGTTGCAACTTGACTCCTATGTTATGTAGGTGGAAGCTCTCGATCTTTCCATATAGGTTTTTGCAGAGGTTAATTCAAGTAGGTTAATTGGGTTGTAATGTCCGAATTCTGAATTTAAAGATGGATTTTTTGATATCTGAAACAACGTCATGCCAGTATCACAAATAACCATAATATATGTAATCTGTAGCTATATGTCGAAATATTGTGAATATATATCTACGAACGCAATTATATATATTCTTACGGAGTTTAGGCTTTTTCCTAAAAAAAATTACATGATTTTTTACTGTTTTCATTTTCAGCGCCACAGATCAAATACCGCATTGTGCAAAATTCAGATCTGAATTCTGAATAATAATTATAAATTCCATTAAATAGCTACCACAGAACCAACACTCAGGGCAGGGCAATTGCCAACCTTGAAATTATCTGGAAAATTATTATGTTCTGAATTTCAAGAAGTTATTGTACTGGGTTAGGTGGAAGAACAGTTAGCAGTCTATGCCGATTGGGTTACCACAATATAATACTGAATCTTGTTCATTTACTCATTTAGTTTTCATGAAAATTAATAATGACCTTTATCATTATTATTTCTTGGCGATGGAGAGGGGAGCAATGCTAGGAAACTCTTTTTGCTGCAGGGTATTTTCGGGGCCACTACAGAAATATTTTCTGTAGCAGCGGCCCCCAGCAAAAATGATTGTTTGTGATATTATCAGGGGATTGTTACTTATTTAATTGATGATATTTCGAAGGAATCAACATTTAATGTTCTCCTAAATTAGTCATACAGCCAATAACTAAGTCACACTGATAGAAATATAGTAAAAATCAACACACTTGATAGTCTAGCCCTTTTGGCTGCAAATTTGTCAATTACTTCTTACACAGAAAAATCAATGTGTTATTAAACAGTCAATAAACCCAAACCATTCAGCCTGTTTTATCCAGTTCAGCTTCTCAAATAAGTTTATAATTTTTCAAGTTTATGGGTGGAAGTAAATCTGTTGCAGACTTGAAAATTTTACAAAACAATGAATGCATATGTATAGCTTAACCCGTCAACTATCAGTTTGTCACCCCAAAAAAACAGTTTTTGTTGTTGTTGGGTATGTAGGTTCCTCTTCAAAACCGTCAAGTCTTTTTTTTGTTGGGTAGTGAAATTATATTATTTATCATTTCCTCGACACTGGTAAGAATCAAAAACAACATGGTCTGAAGCATTTGATAAATAACATAAAGGATATTGAAGGATTTCACATAAGCTCACAGTATGTTAAACTGGAACATATGAGCAACATAAACTTTTGGGTATGGGGGTGATTGACTGTAGTCTGTCCAGAAGTATCCGAGACTGGAGCATTGCTAAATTGCTTCAACATTTTCTAGATTGCTTCAGGAATGTATTTGAATTTCAATAACACAATGATTTTTCATCCATCTTATGTCACACCTGAGTACCAATCTTGTCTAGGAAAAATGTGACTCAGTATTGTCTCTCACAGCTTTCATCGTTCTGGCAAAATTCTTCAGTGACAACAGTGTTGAATAGTGCATATGTCCTATGGCTAAATTCATGGAATGGGAGTTGGAGTGAACATACAAAGCTTGAGGAAATTACTTTCAGATATATTTTTAACTTCCTTCATCTAACTTTTCATTATAGCAGCTTTATTGTTTGTTCACTTCTCAAAATGTTTGTTGTTTTATTAGTGAGAACGTAAAACATTCACCAGATGTCATAATTAACTCTCGAGTTGTTGGGCAGAAATATATAGCGTTTCTCAACTATACTTCACAAAGTTTCAATCAGTTTTCATCCACACACTTCATTGTCAATTGTTTCACACAGACAAGCGAGCATAACTAAAACATACCATTTATTTGGATATTCATATAACCGAGGACTTTGAATTCAAATTACCTATGTTTTTTTCTTAATAATTACCTCTGTACTATAAGTCAACTCAAGAATATACAGAAAAAAGATTCTGGTGTCACAAAAAATAATACAATTTCAACTCCCTATAAAAGATAAATTTGCTGATAGAACTCTACCACATACGTCTTGAAGTCTTCGGTAAGAAATCTAATGTAATATATAAGTATTTTTTTGACTGAAAGACGGAAGAATAGTTCCTATTATGAAATGTCTATAAATAATTTGATTAATGAAAGTAAGTTGGTGGCATTTTGTTTGGCCTATAAAGAGGTATTGCCATTATTGACCCTAAAATAAGAAATATGTAAAACAAATATATTAACATAAAAGTAATGCACATAACTTATATAACTTATTCTAAAATATTTACAATAGAAAATATTTATTCATCTCCTCTCAGAGCTCTATACTTATTTAGTTCATTAGGAAATGTACGACTCAATTCTAGTAACATATTAGCTTTGAACTTTCTGTAAGCATCAATCTTTCCTTTTACTTGTTCATTCTTTGCCAAGGCTTTCTCGATACAATCTTTAGTGTACAGTTGAGGATTGCGTCCTTGATCGATATAACTGAAAAGTTAAAACATTTACAAATTGAACAATATAACAAGCTTATGTACTTACTCAAAAACTTCTAATGGAACATGAACATCTTGCACTTGAGATTTCAATTTATCAACTTCCTGTAATCCATGCACAAGGAGTTCCCTCGTTATCTTTTAGAAGGTTTACATGATGACGTTAATAGAATTATTGAGAAACCTAAACCGACCTTAACGGGGATTAACGAAAAATTGAGCGACAGCGGAAAAGCACAAGAGGCGTGGCGGATTTATTTGAGTGCAAACTCTAAGATTGTAGATAATTTCGTTGGTCAATTAAAATCCACGATGAAGTGCACACACTGTGGACACACATCTGTAACATTCGATCCTTTTGGGGATTTGTCCCCCCCCCCCCCATACCACAAAGAACTGGCCAATTGAGTTTATCACAATGTTTGGATTTCTTCACAAGAGATGAAACTTTGGATGGACATGAAAAATCGACGTGTTCGAGTTGCAGGGAAAGAAGAAAATGCACAAAGTCTCTATCAATTCATAAGTTTCCTCGTATTTTAGTAATTCATTTTAAAATATTCTCTCTAACAGAAAGTTTCAGAGGCAAGTTAAATGTTGCCATCGAATTTTTTCTAGATGAATTAGATATGAACAATTATGCAGCAGACAACGTGACTCCTTGTCGTAATAATCTATATACACCTTCGAAGCACAGAGGGTCTACCTACAGCGGACATAATACAGCATTCGGCAGAAATCCCAATACTGGCACGTGGCACGAATACAATGATTCACACGTGTCGCCAATTTAACCAAAATCACTTATGAGTCGAGATGCATACATCCTCTTTTATGGAAAGGAGAAAACGAGTTCGTACCTTTGAGCGTTTTAAAAAGTTATTTTTGAACTGTTGATTTTAATGTTATCATTCAACTTGGTTTTGATAAAGCATATTGTTGAGATATGTACTTGGGTTTCATTTTTAAAACAACAACACTAATAATACTTAGACGACTTTTATTTACTTAATACACAACTTCTGCACTGATTATAAATCTCGCTTGATTGAGACTTCGAACATTCCTTACTACTCTCCCTCTGCCGAAGGAACTCATCGCTCTTTTATAGTAAGATCGATGCATCTAGAATTTCTAGAAATTCCATATCCATAGCGATGTTTCGCTCTCAAGATCGACGTTGGAATTCTTTGATCAAGACTTTTCCAGTTACCGCGCGTGTGACGTAGGATCGTCCCGATCAAACAATATGTCGTTGTCCCCATTGTATCGTTTGAATCTTTATAGGTGAACGACCTTCATTTTTGCTCGAAGGCTACGTTGAATCCTATACACTACGTCATTTATTCTCTTCACTATCGTATAGGGTCCTTCCCAAGATGGTGTTAATTTGGTGGAAATTCCTTTTCTACGACGAGGGTTGTATAGCCACACTCGATCTCCTTTAAATCCACCAGTATCGAGAGATCGTATCGAGCCTTCATCCTGTCACTAGTCATATTTAATATTCTTCTAGCAATTTCGTGGATCCTTGTCAAGACTTCGAACACTCTCTTACTACTCTCCTTCTGCCGAAGGAACTCGCTCTTTTATAGTAAGATCGATGCATCTAGAATTTCTAGAAATTCCATATCCATCGCGATGTTTCGCTCTCAAGATCTACGTTGGAATTCTTTGATCGATACTTTTCCAGTTACCGCGCGTGTGACGTCATGCTCAGTTAGCGATCCCTTCGTCGAATTGGATGAATGTAGTCAGCTGCGGCGTAAGGGATTTTGTAACAATATGTAACATATGTAACGTATATGTAACAGTAGTTTTTTTATCATTTCGCATTAAATTAATTATATCAAAGTTTGAAGCACACGCATTTTTTTGATTTGACTACTCTGTTTATTTGTCATTATTGACAGATGTCATAATTATTGTTTGCATCGTTACCTGAACTGAAATTTGAGTATAAGGATGGAAAACAAAAACAATGGTAACAGCAAATGAAGCTGAAAAATGGATAATATAAACCTCAACCACATATTTTGACTGATGATGGCAAATACACACAGTAGCCAACTGAAAAAAAAAAACCGAGTGTTTTGAACAAAATCCTTATTGATACGATAAAATACGGAATTATTGGAATTCTGAAAATAGTTTCAGCGGTAATAAGGCTGAAACCTCACTAGAATAATGCTTGATATTGGAATGATACTTGAAATAGGGTTATTGGACGGCCTTTTCACATTCATATGGTATTTTCACGCTACGGAGTTACGCATTGATTGGTACATTTCAGCCGTATCCTGACGACCTCGAACTGGTAATAGTAATTCCAAAGTTGAGACTTCGGCCGAAACCGAAACTTCCATAAAAGGATTAAGTTTTGAGGGAAAAATAAAGAAAACGTTGTAACATAATCAGTCAGTCCTAATTTTTTCATCATTAAATCACAACGTTATGCAGTCTTCGGAATTTTTACTTATTGATAATCAACATAACAAAGCCTTATTTGGGAAAAAATATTAATTGCACCTTGAAAATACTTGAAATAGGTGAGGTGTTTATTTGAGTGGGTGTAGATCCTTCATTTGAATATTATTGATGGTTTTTCAAAAATATTGAAAATAAAATTACTTATTTAAATTTTTACCTAATATCACAATAGGTACCTAATATTTATGTAATAAAATCACAAAGTAAGTCACGAGTCATGACATGATTAGGCACGTGGACTCGGCAAAATGTCTTCATCGCTTATAAGAAATTCAACGCACCAAACATGACCGATCACAGCGCGGAAACTCTTGAATGCAGTTTCGGTCGTAGTTTCGGCAGGGTTGCCCCCGAAACCGAAATCCGTTTTTTTGCCGAAACACGACCGAAACCGAACTTTCGGGTGGACAATAATTTACACCACGGAACTGAAACCCTGAAGTTTTAGTTCTGTGTGTGATTTCAGTTCAAATTCCACAGATTATGTGCAAATCACAGAACTGAAACCTCAGGGTTTGTTATTCTGTTGTATTTCATTTGACACTTTTGACAGTATTAGTATAATGAGACGAGTTCTTAAATTCAACAGAAAAAGTTCGGTGGATTGATTTAACCAATATAAACCACTAACGGTTCGAGTACACCAAACGGTGGTCTTACCGATGAATTCAAGGACTCGCCATAAATACTCTCAGGCGGGGTTCGCAGTGCGCTAGGTTATCTGCACAAAATAGTGGTTATCTGTTCATTTTCATTCAAAATTAACATTTTGTTAATATAAACACAAAATAATATTTATATCTGCATTGATAGTATAGCATCACTAATGTCTTTGGAACAAACTGCTTGTGAAGGTATAAGCATTTTTAGATTTTGTAAAACGACTATATAAGAAACCTATAAAATAGATATTATTTTAGATCTAAAGGCTTTTGAAAGGCGACTGACTGAAGTCATAGCTTGTTTGCATCCTTCTACAACTCGATGGAGAAGTAAGTATGGAATACGAATGTCTTGCAATAATTAAACTTAATTATTCCAGTAGTACTTACTGCAGTTTCAATATGCGTGGCCACTGGTGCTAGTCAGTGGATTCTAGATCCTGAAACGAGGATAGTTTCATTATCACAGTCTTTGACGAACCACCCATTCTTCATTCTATCCACGATAATTCTCAGTAAGTTTTGTTTATATTGGGGCATACAAATTCAAGTGTGCATAGTCTGTTAAACGTAAAAAAATAGTTACAAAAGTAACAAAAATTCGACTCCAGGCTTTTCAAAAAACAAAAAATTTAATTTTTTACTGCATCTCATTTTTAGAAATATTGGAAACCTGTTTACGCTTTTTCATAGGAATATTCTTTGATCAGAATATGAATGTATTATTTCTATACAGAATATGCATACCTTCAGTATTGTATATGTTTTTTCCTTTGTATCTACCTAAACAAAATAGTACATTTTTTGTATCATTCTATAGTATCACAAAATAGGCACCTTTACCATATTATAACTTACTATACATGCCTTACCTCATGATATCCCCATGAATAAACTTGAATTTGAATAGCTCTGTATATTGTAAAAATCTATTGAATGTAAAACTATTTGTTTTGTTTCCAGTAACAATATTACTCCTTGGGGTTCATAAAAGAGTTATAGCACCGTCTATAATAACTTCAAGAACGAGGGAGGTATTAGGAGATTTCAACATGTCTTGTGATGATTCTGGTAAACTAATTCTTCGACCTAGGCCAAATCCAAATAGGGGAGGATGGCCCTGAATATAGTAGTTTTCTGTTATATCTTTTTAAACCATTTTTTTCAATTTCGGTTAACTTCAAAGCATTTAAGACGAAACATTGACTGTAAATACAATACCCATATTAAAAAAATTATTCTAGAAAATGGAAATTACAGGTGTTTCATGTGTAATTTGTCACATATCCTTAGATACTTAGTTTATTATTGAGGGTGAAAGTGTTTATAAAAAAACAGTCTACTGCCGTTGCCCTCTTATTACATAATATAGCAGTGAGAAGTTGGTAGCCAAAGATAACTTCCAGGCTTTCCACATTCCCGAAAGCCCAGTGGTGTACATTATTATTATAACATTGTATCTGAAATGAGTTTTGAAGAATTTGAATGACGATTTTGATTTACAGGCAATATCAGAAGCAGTATTCACTGATTCAATAATCTATTTAGCAAACCATTTGGAACGTGAAATATGGTTAGACTAAATGAAGGAAATATGTAGAATTCGAATGACATGAAATTTCATGTGGCCCTCTATGAACTTTTGCGACCTAAGGATTAACGAGGTCCTACCTTTTAACGTGCGATTCTTAGCAAGAAAATTATTTTTTGCTAAATAGTTCTGTTTAAGCCTTTGAAACAGATCGGGATATGACACTGATATGGTGGAAAACAAAATTAATTATTTGCACATATTTAGTCAATCATTCAGAACATAAAATATAGTCAGATTGAATAAGAGGAATATTATAAAATTGTGTTTTCCAACTTTTGTTTTTCAAAAACTCTAGCAGCAGGTAGAATCACATATAAATAAGTTGCATCACTTTTTTATTCAGTTCTTCAGTATGTCATTACTAGTTGGAGCAATACATCAAAAGTACATTTCAATAGACTATTTATGATTTAAAAATCCGTATTAGAGGTAAAATCTCTTCCAAGTTCAATGAAAAGTGCCAACCAATATAACTTAAAAATAACGAACCTATACTCAATCATTGTTTTTTTGAATTTGCTTTTTGTTCAACAGAACTTAGTGAATGAAGTTACTCATAAAGATGAACCCCAACATAATAAGACAAATGAAACAAACCTTGCTCCCACAGCTAATAGACTAATAGATGAAATGGGAATTAGGCTGTACGATGTTGAGTTGAGTTTCGTAACTGCCATTTAAAAGATTCAAAAACTTATTTAAAAAAAATATCCATTATATGATCCATCAATTCAATCCAATTCTTTATTGACTAGTTGGGTACAAAATTGTACATATGGCAAGTAATAATTTTTCCAGTAAACAATATATCATATACATCATATTATTTACAGTTAACAATAAAATAATTATATATCAGACAAACACTTATCAAACCCACAATATAGAGACATTTAACAGTTACAATCATTCAGGAATTCTTCGCAACTGTAGTAACATTTGTCTAGTAAGAGTTTTTTAAAGCTCCTGTAGAATAACTTGTCTAATTTAATTTGTGTGATAGCTGACGGTAGCACATTGTAAAGGCTGACTGCATTATATAATGGTGATTCTTTAAATTTGGAGGTTTTGTGTCTAGGCACCTTTAATAAATTTCCATTATGCGTTGGATATTCATGACATGATGAGGTTTTTTCAAGCAGTGACTCGTTTTTTCTGGCGTAGTTCACACATTTATATATTAATATGCAGGGAGCCGACAAAAGCCTTTCTCTAATGAATACTGGCCTACAACTCTCTAAGTAGTTCATGTCAAATATCAATCTCATTAGTCTTTTCTGTAATACAAAGACCCTGGTGAAGTTTTTTGCACTTTCCCAAGACATTATATTGTAAGAAATGTGTGGATACCTGTTTATACATTGCTTCATCTGTTTTATTGAGAAATATGCTTTGTTTAATTTACAACATACACTATCAATATGTAAATCCTAAGTCAGTTGTTCATCCAAAATTGTACCCAAAAATTTAGCAACAGTTACAATGTTACATCAATATCACGTGAGTCGCATATGTGATCTGGAATATTTCTCCTTCTGTTATAGAATGTCATAAAAACAGATTTGGTAGTGTTAAAGTTGACACCATTCTGAGAATTTTTCAATCGCACAATTAATTTGTTCTATCAATATTTTGAGATCTCTAACTGATGCAGCGATAGTCGTATCATCAGCAAACATTGTGATTTGACAATTTGATAAGTGTTCCGGCAAATCATTGATAAAAATGGGAAATAATAGGGGTCCGAATACCGATCCCTGTAGAACACCTGAGTTAATGTTGAAAGATTTGGATAAAACATCATAATACTCCACAATCAATCAATCAATCAAACTGTACTTTATTGTCCAAGAATAATTATTCTTATTGACAAAGTGAATAAATAACAATGAAGTGGATATCCACTGTGTCCAATACATATGAGACAAAAAATATGAAAATATAAAATGTAAACAAAACCAAGTCATCCACTTGACTAGGTTTTGTGGAAGTTGGAACACTGTGCTTTGGTTGAGTCGAAAAAAATCGCGAATACAAAATGGCTGGAGTCGACTTCTGTGTCGTTGTACTTTAAGATGGAGACACTTTCGTGGTATCTTCCTTAATTTGTATACTAATATATTATGGTTTGTTAGTCATTAATTTCACTTATGAATTGTAAACATTTCAAGCCAACGAACTTATTAACCTTATTTTGGAAAATTGTAATGGCGTGTCTGAAAATTATTTGTTTCTAAAGACTAATGAATATTATCATTATTATAATCATGAAAATAATCCGACTACTGGTTAACGTAGTGAAAAGTTGCTTTATTATCGACGTAGCTAATAAACAATTTGGATTGAGGAAATGTTAAAAACCTTTTCATTTCATTATTTTCACTTTCAATCAAAAGTTATTTATTCACCTACTCTAATATTTGTCTAATACTTCAGAAAACCTTATTTTCAAAATAAGGATTTCATCATTTCAATGCATAACACTTATTCACAAGGTTTCAGGATAATAAAGACATGTTTTTGCTTTTAACAAAAAAAAAATCTTATTGTGCGCAATTCTGGTCGGTGTCACATCTCCAACTCATTCTCTCTATGTCAACTATCCGATACACAAGATCAATCTTCTTGATTGAATATGATTTTTGCTTTGGTCTGCATTTTTTATATAAACCTATCAATTCAAAACTAGCTAGTATCTGGGTGCTTTGCAGTAAGAACAGTTGCCACTGAACTAGTTAAAAAAACTGAGGAATTATCAAGGTGGTAATATTGCCTGAAGGTGATTCCTATTTATAATGGCAAGAATCCAAAACAAGTATTTTAATGAAATTCAAACAAACGGGGTTTGCTGACCTTGGTCTGCAGGTTATTGTTTTGAAATAACATTGTTGCAATCTTTTCAACCACCTAGAAACTTGACCGTCACGATTCTTGGAGTTTTATTAATTATTATAAAGCGCTATGATATGTTTTGTTGATGAATTGTAGGAAGGTGTGTATCTGATCGTTGAATTTGATAACTATCAACAATTATTTTTCTGTAACACATTAGTTTGTGTTATACTCAAGTTTTTGAAGTAGGGTTCAACATTTCCTTTTTCGTCTCATTTTTGGAATAACAAAATCAAGACGTTTCATCTATGACTATGTCATCATCGAAGGCGATGAGGCAGTGAACAAAGTGCTCTACTTGTCCTCACTATCTGCTGTGGGGGATAAAAACTTGGAGACCACGGCAACAAACCCAGAAAATAGATATGTCATGGTTACCTCCTGCCATGAAAGTTCACGTTCATTGACGAACCATTACAAAGTTGAAAATTGAGCAAAAGATAAGGATTTTCGCAATCTTCTACTACAACCATCATTATCTGCGATATTAAATTTCGATTTTGGGAACAGATTCATTAGGATAGCTAAATATAAACAAAAGTGTAAAGAAGTCAACTAACTGGGACCAAAAGAAAAAAAAACAAATGTTATAAAGATACATTTATTCAATATTTGCATCTGTGTCCACAATAGTGTGTAGATTTCATTTATTCATATTACCACACTATAAGAAAAGAATGTTTAATGTGAAGTTACTAACTTTAAAACTCTACATCTACATTAAAAATATGTACACAGAAATTAACTATTGTCACGACCTGTATTAACAGAATTCTGTGCAAAACCGAAGTAAAAAAAGTAAGCAGTTTTCATAAATACTAGTTGAGCATTTTGAAATAGAGCCCATAACGAGTCGAATACAGGAAACTAAATTTTAAAAATTGATTCAAACATAAACAGGGCATTGACACAACCGAGTTCCACATCAAATTACAGAAAATATCGATTAGCAGCAAACAATTAACGTTAATTGAGACTAGAGTGCTACACATGATCACAGACAAGTCTGGGATGTTCGAAGATTGAGTTTCATTATCCAAATATTGGATAGCTTCAGCTTGCTTGTACAGTAGAAGAGTCAATAGTAATGTGCGTATATACTGATGTGAAAATAGACCATCCAAGTCTATGACATACCTCACAATTATGACTGTGGTTTAACGTTGCCTAATCATTCTTCTACTCCATGAACCATATCAAAAAAGTGAATGAAAATTCTATTCAATAACTCTCATGAAAAAAGTGAAAAAGTTGTAATTGATGCAAACTGACAAAGTGCTTGAACTGGTTATAAATTTGAGTTTGTTACTAACTACAGTAAAATTTTGTTTTTGGGCTCGCAATAGTTTTAAAAATATTTAAATTAGATTTGTATATTTTTGTCCATGTATTGTGAATTTGAAGTCAAAACTTGATACTCTACGCTACTTTTGGAGAAAGTCAAAAATTTTGAAAAATCTACTGTTTCAGAAACTTTCTTCTGACAGTAAAAATGAGCAAAATGACGCCTTCTTTTCACTATCTCAAGGTGTGAACTTTTATTCTCTTGTCAGTCTATTTTTTTGGCATACACATTTTTTTACAAGGGACTTTCAATTCTATTTTCTTCAGGGACTTTTTTATTGGTTCCCTTGACAGCATTAAAAAATTGAACTAGAATTAAATTGCTAACGAAAACATTAGGAAAACCATATTCCTGATGACAAATTTATTGGCTTCGGAAATGATAAAGTCATATCTAAAAGGCGGGTCACAAAAAGTTAGGTGTCCCACAGGGATCTGAAACTATTCAACAGATTATGCAAGGCTAGACTGAAAAAGTATACCGGTTCCTACGAATACCTATAGCAAAACATATTTTTGTAAAACTGTTTGGTGAAAATCTCACAATAAAGTGTTTATTGAATGCGTTATTGATTTTCATCAAGTATAGGCCGATCCCATCGCATGAAGTATTTTGCAGCTGTCATACAAAATAATCAACTCAAAAGCTAGTGCGAGACCGAAAATGAATATTTATCATTACTACATTTTGGTACCTCAAATAGAACATTCCAAACTTGTCTTTCTCAATATATATATATGTATATATAAAATTAAATACCCCAAAGAGTAAATGATATCTATGAATGATACCCATTTACAAACTGCTTCTCACAAAACCAACTCCAGACATGCTAAAAAGTAAACAGGAATAGAATATCAGACAGTTTCGATTGCACTAATTCAAAAAGCAAAATTAACTAATCCATACTGTACAATCTAAATATTACATAAAATCTTTACATAGAAGCCTATTAGGCCATAATATTCACATCTATACATTATCATCAAGTTAAAATCATACTTTTGAGATAGGTGTACAGACGTATACAGGGCACCACATTAATGTTTTACTTCATAATATTTGTCCTAGTGTCAAGTTAGGAACAACCATACACATTAATGCAGAACCCTGCATGTTTACTTGAGCTTTTCATACGTCATTCAAAGAATCCAAATGATTCTAAAACAGAATAATTGAAATTATCAATCCATGGCATAACAAATAATCAAATTCTTTAAACAATGTACTTGACCAAATCGCGCCCTAACAAAATATTAAATTAACCATTAGCTTGCTTATTTTGTAACTGAAACATACAGTTAAAATGTCAAATAAAAATATATCACAAATACGTCAGATGTGGGATAAAAACCCTGATAATATCAGGAGTGGGATATATATACTAAAATGATTATATGAATTACTTTATGTTGGACGCGATTTGCCGCTCAACTCATGAATATTCTACAACAACTTTACATGTTATAAGCAACATAAATTGGGTCGAGTTGGTCCGCTAGGAAACCGTCTCTTAGATGCATTCGTTGCTTCTCACCTCGAGAATTAATTGGCACAACACCCGGATCTACAACAACTACCACACCTACAATCAAATGGTGTTCTTCCAAAACGGTATTCGTCACCAGAGGTACTAGGTCTAGAGCTTCGCTTTCATTGCCGTCAAGTTCCACGACGACAACCAGCAGATTGGTCCAAGTAAACACAGCACTGAAAACGAAAGAAGAACAGATTGAGATTTAGTGCCATTATAATTTTTTACAGATTTTTGTTAATTTCTATCTATAAGATAGATTCTAATAGTTCAGTACAACTAACATTGTACCAATTGGAGTGTACTTCTTGCATTTGAGAATGATTCGCATTGCTCTAATCTACAATTTTTGTAATGCTGCGATACTGTTGGAATCTATTAATGACAGTAAACTTGGGAAATATTCGAAGTGAGGTTGAATTATAGTTTTATAGATCATTATAGATGTAGAGAACGATTTTTTTTTACTTATTTGGCTGAGACCGTTATCGAAATGATTTTTGAATGTGATAAAGTTATCCATTTTAAAGCCAAGATATTCCAAGATTATTTATTTATTGAACTATTTCAATGTTTTCATTATATTTTGATATATTTATGTTATTTACGTTGATTTGCCTATATTTGTATTTTGAAGTTATTATCATGGCCTTGGTTTTGAGAGTATTAAATTTGAGCTTATTAATATTAAAAAAATTGGTGATAATTTTCAATAATTTGTTCATTTACTCTATGGTCTCATCCAGGTTCAGACTGTTGATAGCTACGAGAGTTTCATCAGCAAACAAATTAATGAACTCATTGTCTTCAACAAAATTGATATCATTGAAATAAAGAATGAATAATAAGGGTCCCAGGACACTGCACTGGGGAATGCCCGTGGTTATATTTTTTTCACTGAAGATTACGTTATTCACTTTGGTTATTTGAGAATGACCTTTCAGGAATTTATCAAACCTTAGAACTGTCCCATGAATTCCATGATACTGTAGAATATCAATATCAATTGTTTCAAAAGTGTTCAAGAACACTGCCACCATAAATTTATTTACATCTATCAAAAACTTCCAGTTTGTTATTGTCAGTTGCAAAGCAGTCTCACAAGAATGATTTGATCTTTAAACCTGATTGGTAGTCCATTAGTAAATCATTATCATTAATATATTTGCTAATCTGTTCATAAACGGCCACTTCTAAAATTTTTTCCAAGGGCGGTAGAGTATTTATAAGACGATAGTTACTAGGGTCATGAATTATATTGTTTTTTGGTACTTGGACTATAGTACTCATTTTCAGTTGAAGTGGTATTTCACCAGTTGCTAAGGATGTATTTATGAAATTCAGCTAAGGCATGTCACTTTTGTGACAGTAAAAACTCTCTCCCATCGTCATTATTTTCTTATTCATATAAGAACATTGAACTCACCATTCAGCAATTTTCTTATGGCACCTTAAAACACTATTTTCTATATCAATGGGATGGTATCTCATCCCGCGCAGCATGATCGTCTCGTCGAGTGCGCCAACGACGAAAACTGCATCGTGCAGTTCTGAAGCGTCTGTGGTTACCAGATGATGAGATGATCCCACCGATTCATTATCACTTTCTCTATTGAGTATGGTCTCGTCTCCTACACAAGATTTCTCAATCAACTCCGTTCTTCTTAAGAAGCCTAGGTATCCTGTCCGAGCATAGATTTCACCAGTGTTTCCTGTGAAAGTAATGAAATAATCAAAACTGTTCTATTCCGGCCATTGATTAATTTTCATTATCACAAAAAGATTCTCAGTTGGTCAATCTGAACCATGAGTTTTGCAACTAGAAAATGCTAAAAGAATATAGAAAATGTATGCATCCCACATGAATACCATTGAAATTTGTGACGAAACTTCAATCCCATCAAAGATGAAGGACCTAAATATATCATTTGAAATTCTTGCCTAAACAGTCAGGTTAAATGTTTCAGTTGGATGAGTTGAATTTTATAACAAGTATACAAAATCATCAAACTAAAAATACAAATATTGCATTATATTGGTTGATGCTTGCAAAAATATAAAATAGAAGAATCAATACATAACCTAAAAATGACTGCTAAAACAGAGTTACGAATTGAAAAACCGAAAATGGAGAAAAAATAGAGAAAATTTGAAAAAACTGAAGTCAAGAACATGGATCATAAAAAATATATAAGTTGACTGAAAAGGGTATTAATAGACTTTCAAAATGAAAGATTGCAGACTGAAAAAAAAAATTGAACCTCACTAAAGTAATTTTAGAACTAGTACAAAGAGCCAAGAGTTTCATGAATAATAGGGGAAAATAATAGGATAAATTATGTATATAATTCAAATTTTTATTATAAATTTGACTTCTCAAGTCCAAAAACTTCAAAAGGAAAATTGATAAACAAAATTATTCTCATTCCACCACATTTTGAACACGACTTGAGAAAATGTTATTGACAAATCTAATCAGAAAGGAAAAGAGAAGCATGGAATGAAAAATAAAAAACATTATATCTTTTTTGTGCTGATTTCCATTATGTATATGTTCCACAAGAGAAGTCATGTGCACTAAATTTAATTTAACAAATTATTTATATAAATTCAAGGAACACTGCATGAGATTTTCACGTAACAATTTTACAAAAAAGCAACACGTGTTTCGCTATACAATAGCTTCTTCAGGGGTGTCTAAAAAGTATATAATGTGCTAACGATGATATATAAAATAAGAAACGGGTTTTCAATGCAAGTTTCAGAAGCCTATCTTTTTGCTTTTATATCGATTTCCACTATTAGTAGTTTATTATTTTCTAGAAAAAATATCCATTGAATAAGTATTTGTATATAATTTGTGTAGTGCTAAGAAACTATTATCAACAATTATTAGACCATTTTACTATGAATATATTTTCTCAAACACATCTAGATTCAGATCTGAACATTTTGTGAATCAGCTGTAGGTAGGAGTGTAACCTCTGGCTCGAAATGAGATTACTGATAACAAAATTAAGTATTCTATTCAAATAAACTATACTATACTATTTCAATTTTCATTTATATAAAACTCACCTGTAACCAGACGAGCGTTGAAGTGATCTCCATATTCAGTTTCATCTCCATAGATAGTGAAATACCCGCTGGCGGAATGTCCGCTCTGCACCCAAATTTCACCCAAATGTGAGTCACCACACTGTCCTTTCGTCTCCGGATTAGCTATAATCACCTTGACTCCAGGCAGGAGCTTGCCGCTCTCCATGACACACAAACTGTGCGGGCTCCCCCTCTCGACTAAACTCACTCTGTCATTCCTCAGTGCTCTCAGATCTACGAATACTGTCGAAGGCTCCGGACTAGAAGCCCCTTGCAGGCAAATGGCCACGTTCACTCTGCAGCCGAAGGATGTCGACACTGCTCTGGGGCTTAGCCCTAAGGCGCTGAAGAGCTTCGAGAAGCTGGTGGTGAGATTAATTCGGGGCCGTTCTTCTGCAACGACTACGCATGTTCTGACGCACGCTAAGTTGATGCCTCTTGTTTTCAGTTGGTTTACGGACGAACCGAGCCCTTTCGTGCATAGCTCCATTACTCCGTAAGAACAGAAGGTGTCTCTGACTTTGTACTGACTCACGGCAGTGAGCCACAGAGAGGGATTGACCTCGACTTCCGAAGGCGGGATTAATATAGAGTGGTGGCCCGAATAGATGCTGCTCAAACACCTGCAAGAAGAGTATAAATTAGTTGTAAAGAAATGTAAAATTGACTACTTCACCCAGTGATCTCCGAAAATTGTAATTATTAGTGAAAAAAAACATTTTTATTTAAAATAATTCACGCCTAGTAGGAAAAAGCAACACAATTGAAACAAATCATGGTGAGATTTTCACCTCATAGTTTGGGAAACCTCAACACGTATTTTACTTTAGGAGTGTTCAATACTGTCGCTGAAGCCATCAAAAACTTCCCAAAATGAAGTAAATATGGAGAAGCAAAAAACACAACCATGAACTGAGGGCAACGAAAAAGAACAAGAATTTGAATTGAAAGAAGTTTGTTAGAGTGATACATGAGAAACCTGGAAACTGAAGAAGTCAGTGTTGACAGAAAAGTATGGAGTATCATGTCAAAAGATCGAAGAGTGACAACTGAAGACCTAATTATCAAATATTTTGTTGAAGAGGTTTCACCAAAAGTATCATTATGACAGAAAAGTTATCTAGGTTTGCGATTACCGCACATTGAACAAAGGAGATGAAATATGTAAACCGGAATTATAATCAACAAATGTAGGAGTTAAAGCATCATGGAAATTATTCATGATAAAATCGTAAGTAGTAGGAAATAGTTATTGAATTATTTATTGAATATTATTAAGAAACAAAAAACTATACTCTTTATTTTGCATTCGAAATACCCTTGCAATTTTTTCTGGTAGAACAATACCTGTTATATGAATCAAGATATTACATAACACTTAATTTTTTATCAGAAGGGTACCATCCTTTTTTTGATCTGCTAGAGTAATTTTTATTATAAATTTGACTTCTCAAGTCCAAAAACTTCAAAAGGAAAATTGATAAACAAAATTATTTTTATTCCACCACATTTTGAACACGACTTGAGAAAATGTTATTGACAAATCTAATCAGAAAGGAAAAGAGAAGCATGGAATGAAAAATAAAAAACATTATATCTATTTTGTGCTGATTTCCATTAGGTATATGTTCCACAAGAGAAGTCGTGTGCACTAAATTTAATTTAACAAATTATTTATATAAATTCAAGGAACACTGCATGAGATTTTCACGTAACAATTTTACANCAAAATGGTATTCCATATCTTATTTGGGATTCAATTAAAGCATAGTAAACCATTTTTGCTGTGTGAAAACCCAGCTGATTAGAAAATAACTCAGTTAGTAACGTTAGTTACAAATAAAAGTGGTAAAAAACAGAAATTTTCATTTCTCTTTTCCTTAATATTTTTCTTCTTTTCAAAATGCATTGTCAACTGTTACAGTAAAAACTTTTTCCGCAATATTTCATTTGATATTCAATAATTCTGTTCAAAGCTACTTCTAAGTGTATTTGACCATTATTAATGTAAGCTACAGGAAATTATCTATATTGATTTCTCTATACTGTTTATAACAATTATATAATAACAAAGATACTCACCATAATGAAAAACCAAGTCCGCAATAGGGATCCAAGCAAAGCGCTATATGCCTACTGGGGTACAATTCGCATGCTAGCTTCATACTCTTACACAAATTAGTGACGGCAGCATGGGACATCTTGATACCTGCCAACATTCCTGTAGTGGAAACGCTAAAGTCCAAATAGGCCAACATTTCGGCGGTGGGAGCCCTGTACGGCACGGGTAGCTTCTTCTTCGGCATGTCATCCGTGTCGAGTATCATTGGCCAGGATTTAATGTCGACTACATTACTCGCTTCTTTCGACCGAAGGAGCTTGATCACAGCCTGAATGGAGAGCACCAAAACCGACTTCGATACATCCACGATCATCCTGACAGTGGGTAGAGTCGTTTGCAGATTCTGCGGATGGGGAGGGCGGATAGTCACTGGTACGGCACCTACATAGAGGCAGCCGTAGAATGCGCAAATCAAGTCCAAGCCAGGAGGGAATATCAAAGCTACGTGGTCCCCTGTGTTGACTTTGCCCTTTTCTACGAGGAGATTGCCTATCCTTTCTGCTCTCTTGTGAAGTTCCGAACAAGATAGGACTTTGGCGACAGCGCCTTTGCTATTCAGAAGGGTGAAGAGGATGTGGTCTGAAGTGCTGTGAGCTCTCCATCGAAGAATTTCAGCAATAAATTGTTGCTGAAAATTAAGTTGAATAGTTAAAAACTCAACAAGCTATGAAACATTAGGATGATCAAAAAGTTTTGGCCGTTTTAATGTCATGTGTTTTTGTAGCTCCATATCTCATTTTCTATTTATTCTACTGTGTCGTGGTGTATATTGACTGATAGAGAAGTTTGTAGTTTATACATTGATGTTGTTCAAATTTTCCAAATGTCATTTAGAAATTTTCAGCCAATTTTTCTCTACGAATTAATATTGAACCAAAGCGCTGCCGAAACAGCCCGAAAAATTAACCAGGCATTTGGCAATGATAGTGCTAATGAACGTACTGTTCCACGTTGGTTTGCAACGTTTCGTTAGGGATATTTTAGCCTCGAAGATGAGCCTTGAAGATGAGCCCCGAAGTGGTCTATCTACAGTAATCCAGGACGAGGATTTGAGAACCATGGTAGTGACCTATCACAAACGATGCGTGTGATGGCGGAAGAACTGGGTGTCAGCTCCAATGCGGTTTTTGATGGTTTGAAACGTATTGGAAAGTTCAAAAGCTCAAAAAATGAGTGTAACACGATTCGGACAATCGACAGAAATTGTCATGTTTTGAGGTCTGTTCTTCTTTGCTTTTCCGCCACCAAAACGATCCTTTTTGGATCGGATCATCACGTGTGATGAAAAGTGGATCCTCTACGACCACTGGAGATGTTCAGGACAGTGGTTGGACACCGATGAGCCACCCAGACACTTCTCAAAGGAGAAAATCCATCAAAAAAGACCACGGTTACTGTATGGTGTTCAGCGGCTAGTGTAATTCACAGTAACTTTCTGCAACAGGACCAAACCATCACAACAGAATTCTATTGTGACGAAATCGACGAAATGTACCGAAAATGGCGTCAGCAGCAGCCGACACTGGTCAACAGAAGAGGTCCGATCCTGCTCCACGACAACGCCCGTATGCACGTTATACAAATCATCGTCCAAAAATTAAACGAATAGGGCCTCACCCACCATACAGACCTCTCACCAACCGAGTATCATATTTTCAAGTACTTCGATAAATTTCTCACTGGTAGAACCTTTGCCAATCACGACCAGGCAAAAACGGCCTTCGTCGACATCAACGAATACCGAGCACCCAATTTTCATATTGACGGAATTAATCAATTTGTGTTACATTGGCAAAAGTGCACTGATTCAAATGGAGCTTATTTCGATCAAATTGAATAAATATTCACTGAGATATTACAGTTTAAAATAAAGTCTTATAAACGGATAAAACTTTTGATATAACCTAATAGCTTGTAAATAAATAAATTATCGTATTATGTTCTCAGGTGTTGACTTTCTGATTTTTTTTATTGATAATATATTTCAACTGGAGATTATCCATAAATAAATGAATAAACAAATTAGTATTTCTTACTGTTTGAAGGTGATTGACAATGTTTCATGATGAATTTCATTAGTTCAGACTTCCATTATCTGATATTATATAAAATGATATGAAATCCCTGAGAGAACTAAAAAAGAAGAATTAAAAATGAATAGCTGAAAATGACTTTTGTATCAAGCAAAAAAAATCTGAAATGAAATAACAGTGAAATTAAATACAAATAAAAATAGAACAATTGAACAAAAAATAAAAAGTTAAGAGATTCCAAGCCAAGTTACTTCACGACGTTTCGATTGTTAGTATCCACAATCGTCTTTGGGTGATGACTGGACTGTTTCCTCCGAGACATGACTATTTATGGGTCATTCGAGTACTTTCACTTTCCCGGTTTCCTTTTTCCGCTTCACTAGTTTAGTGGGAGATAATCGTTTGACGGGAGTTGGCCATTTTTCGCTTGATGATGGGTTTCCATATGTAGCGTATCTCTACGCTAGTTTGGCTGAATAAATTGTTGGACAACATGTATGCGGCTTCTTTGAATTTCCTCCTAAACCAATGTTCCTCTCTGTGTATGATCTCAACTTGGGACCACTCGCTTTTATGTTGATGGGTCCAAACATATTCCTGATTTGTGTGTTTCTTGTGCTCGGCAATGCGAACATTCAATGGCCTTAGTTTCATCGATATAGGATTTTCCGCACTCAGAGGGTATCCGGTAAATGCAATTCTTGGAATTGCAGTCCGTGTTTGGTGGCCTGGTTTTTTGTGAGGCTGCTAAGTTAGTTGATAGCAAACACTGCGAATTGTTGTTAGTGGAAAAACTTGAAACTCCCAAAAACTGTTAGAAAAAAAAAGTTTTGTGTGAAGAGTTGATATAGATGTTGACTTATACTAAGAAAAAATCAGTAGTTTCTGTAATACAAAAACATAAAATCATTTTTCATTTTTCAACTAATAAATTTCTATTTAGTAATGGCAATTTATCAAATCCAACTCAAGGCACCTGACAACAAACACCAATCAAAGTAAAAGATGTCACTTGTTCACACACAGTCATGGCTGTCAAGGACTAAATTGATTAAAATTATTTCTTCAAATTTGCTTATTACTCGAGTCTATAAGAATCTTTTTAATGACGTGAAATGCAATTATTATGGTGAACAGTTAGAATTTGCTGATAATTTATCGTTAGTGGTCAATTTCTCCGCAACAAACTTTTGCTGTGCTAAATTTAGAAATGTAAAGACCACCATGTAAGTAATATACTAGCTATACTAACTAAATTACTACAGTAATAACTAAAATAAAATGAGAACAATTCACCGTTACCCAATAAATGTTAATAACTTCAAAATTCCTTTTTCATCTTCGAAAATTTGAAATCTATAATGCTTGATACAAAAAATGAACAAAAATAAAATCAAAATGATCTACACAGAAATACGTTTATTAAGAATGTGTAGATCTTTGTGGGCTACTTACAAAATGAGAACCACAAAGACTTACTGCGGGCTTATGCAACACACCTCCTAAGACTAAGAACTAAGAGTTCGAAAATCAACAAGAGCGTTTATGGAAATTCAACCAAAACTACGAACTATGCCTAGAAAGTTGGCCGACATTAAACTATCAGGTTGTTACATAAGTTTTGTCTGTTTTCATGAGACTACTTTAAACTGTAGCTCCCAAACGGTTTTTTGATGATTTAAAACGTATTGAATCCTCAATCAATTCCGTCAGCATAAAAATTGGGTGGTCGGGACTCGATGAAACCGACGAAAGCCGTTTTTGCCTGCTCCCGATTGGAGAGAGGTCTGGAGGGTATGGTGAATGAGACAGAACTTCAACATTCAATTCGTTTAATTTTCGGACGGTGATTTGTGAAAAGTGTGGACGGGCGTTTACGTGGAGCAGGATATGACCTCTTCTGTAGGCCAGTGCCGGCTGCTGCTGACGCAATGTTTTGTTCATTTCGTCGATTTCCTCACAATAGGACTCTGCTGTGATGGTTTGGCCCAGTTGTAGAAAGTTATAGTAAATCACACCATCCGCTGACACCATACACTAACAATGATATTTTTTTGGTGGGTTTTTGGCTTTGGGAAGTAACTGGGTGGCTAGGATCCACTTTCCATCACACGTGACGATCCGGTCCAAAAAAGGATTGGTTTGGTTAAGCAAAAGCAAAGAAGAACAGACCTCAAAACGTGAAAGTTTCTGTCAATCGTTGAAATGGTAGAGAATCCACTTTTCGAGCGTCCTGACCTTTCCAATACGTTTTAAATCATTAAAAATATGGGAGCTGACGCCCATTTCTTCCGCCATCCCACACATGACATCAAAACAGAAAAAAATTTGAAACAGCCTAATAACTAAGAGCTTAGATGAAATCTAAAATGAGCATGCGCCAAATTGAAATATTTACAGGTGTCATTGAACAAAAAAATTGTAAAACGATTGTTTCAAATTTGTGTCTATTATAATAATCGAAAAAATTGACCAAAAAGCGTTGAACATTTTTTTTTGTTAATATGGAAATATTGTCAGTATTATAGTAGACCGATATAGTCTTAGTTACTAGTTGTTACGTTTATTTCTTAGATATTGTTGCAAGAACCCGCTATTATAAAACTCGAAACTTTTTTCTAGTTAAAAAAATTATAACCAAATTTTCCGTCACCTTATCAGTTTACCATGCAGTGCTTGGCATACTTGACAGATGTGTGTTAAGTATATGCTTCTATAAAGCAAAAATTGAAATATTTCCCTAAGTGAAGTTATTTTGGTAAGACTTCATGTTCAATATTTTGTAATAATTTTAACATGTCTTCGCCAATTTCACATGAACTCAAACAACTATATAATTCAATTATTATTTTATATTTCTATTAGTAGATTAAGGTGGGTTGCATTTTCTCTTTTAGCATATGCCAACTTGCATTAATGGTTCACCCATTGTTAAATACATAATATATAAAATAGAAAATGAAATAAGGTAGTGACATTTTGGTGTAAATTTTGAAATACATGACTTCAAAGAATCAGTTTCTTTGAAAAAATTATTTTATATATTTTGGATTATGTTAGGTACCTATGTATGCATTAAAATGCCTATACACTGTTGTAGTGACTCATATATGTAGAATTATCATGCCATTCACCAATATTACCTAATTGATTCAATTAAAACTTTTCTAAAATACAGTGTTCCTAATTCATCAATATGATGACGTGAATTGTGATTCATAGAATAATTGTCGATACTTTGAATTGCTCCAATTATAACAAACACAACAATATAGAAACCAAATATCACAATACAGATCAGTTCATAATTAGAATAGATAGAAATATTGACCAACGACACCATCTTCCAGCAACTTCTGAAACACTACTTCTGGTCTACAACATTTTGTGAAATGAAACTGAAATAGTTCAAACACCAGTATATAGGCACGTTAGGGCACATTCACAGTAGAGTCAGGATGGGTTGTGGCCTTAATGGTTGCTTACTCACATGTCACCACATAACAATCCTCCCACAGTAAGGTTATGTACCAGTGCACAAAAATACCGAGCAGGTTACTTAGATGAGCACTGAGAGCTTGGAGAGGAACTAAAACAATTGATTCTTTACACAGCTTCAAGCTATGTGGAATGCCTAGCAAATGCGCAGATTGCACCCAACTCTAGTTTTGTCACTGTCTGCCACCAACATATGCCAAGGCAAGCTTTGTACACACTGACTACAGTTTGTGTTCATGTTTCTCTTCTGATATAGTAGTATCTACAATATTTGTGCTACACGAATTGTGTTTTACTACTCAAGTTATTAATTTTCATCAAGACAGAATCTTTGGATGTAAAAAGACTATTAACATAACGAAAACCACTTCCTAGTTGCATCATCAACTATCACTGCTTCAAGTCCTTCAGTTATGGTTGACAACAAGCAACTAAGCTTGTAGCAACCAACGGTTGACAACAAGCAACTAAGCTTGTAGCAACCAACATGTGCCTTCCATTCCGGCCAAGAGCTAATATAGTATGTGGGAATCTAAATTTGTATACCAGTATGCGCCTATCCTGATTCCATAGTGAATATCCTTAGTATGCATGATTTAGAAACCCTTTTTCAAAAATGGTCAACATCCCTATAATCCATAAATATGTCTTGAATGAAATGAATAAAAGCACTTTTGTTTAAATACCACTGGAAAATTTCATTTATAGGACCAGTTTCGGATTTGATCCCATTATCCATTTCCAGTGGTATTTAGACAAAAGTGCTTTTATTCATTTCATTTAAGTGATCATGAATTACCATAAAGTAAACAAGAAAACAAGTCATCAATCACACAAATAAATATGTAGGTGACTGCTTCAGTTGAATTTAATCGAGTTCCTTGGATTGTTAACAGATGGCGCTCTTGGCGGTAGTTTATCTTGCATTTGCCATTACATAAAAGTTGATTTTGAAAAACTGAACAGAGATACCATATTCAATACATATACATTATTTAACAATACCAAAATGTTCAATAATTCATGGAAATATATTATACTCAGAAACAAATTAAAAAGTTCTTGTAAGCAAATAAGTTTATGTGTGTTGATGAAGAGTATTGTCGCTTCTGTTGAAATAGGATATACTATAAAATCGTGACCACTGATTAAAGCAGCCAATAAGCGCCGAGATTCAAAAAATTGAAATTTACATACGTTTTTTTTTAGTGACAACTTGACATATATGTATTGGTATTTGGTTCGAAAGTTGAGTAATGTTAAAAGATTGGACGATAAAATTTCAACTTCTTGTTTTTATTTGTTGTTTCAAGAACACATCAAATTCTTTATTGACTTCATAAGTTTTCTTTGAATTTCTATTAACAATTTTTCACTTGAACATTTCATATTCTCCGAACTACCTTTCATGTGTTTATTAATATGAATGATAACAATTAGCACTTTACCAATTTACCTCGCTGGATCATTGGTATATCATAAGTGATAATAATATTAAAACATTTTTGGAAAAACTGAAGATCATGAACTGTGACATAGGTTTCAAAAATATTTTTCAAAATCAAAAGGAGAGACTGGAAAAATGTTGAGTATCTTTTTATTTTCTTGCTAGCCTATTAATTGAAATGAAATAATTATCTGAAGTGGTATTAACATTATCCGCAATACCTTCTTTAATATTTTGAAGTGTCCCATTTGGAGTGTATAGTTTTTTCAGGAAAAAAAAATTGTTACACTTTTTATTACAATGTAATGAATTTAAAAATACTCTAGAATATCCCTTCATTATAATTTCAATAAAAAAAAATATATTTCTGGTCTTGAGGTTGAATGCTGAATCCAACTATTCCAGTTCAATTCAGTCTTCAAAACCTATCCCACAAATCTGATAAATATGAGACTATCATGCTTCATAACCTGTTCACCACCAAATTTATAACAAAAATCACTATTCACCTGAATGAACCTCCCTAGGTTTCGGCAAATTCGTGACACAAGTGTGGGGACACATCAGTACATTCGCTGGATGAAGGTTACCTTCCATGAATCTTCGTTTAGTTTCTGATAAATGTATTCCACCTAAAGGAGTCTTCGGAAGATAATTTGGCGGTACCAGAGCCAAGCAGTACAGTCCGACCTGGTGGATTGAGTCGACGGCTTGAAGTACCCTGGACATCCATTGGAAAGACTAAACCAAAAAACAGTTCAAGTTGAAACAATTGGGAAACACAAAAATTGGTTTTCATGCTAGATATATGAAGATTTTATGAATAAGATTCAACAAGTAATTTTCTAATTATTTCACCTTTACTGTAAACAATAATCTAGGAGTATTAAAAGAAACTTCTGCCACAAAAACTATTTATACTTGTTGCAAAACCATATTCACTAGATACACAAAGATCTGGAAAGTTTCGAAGGCCTGTGTAAAAAACAGGTTCATAAATAGATAACAAATGAACATGACAAGTTCAAGACAATTGACACATGAAAACACATTGCTCATATGTTCAGCGATACATTAGTAGTGAAATGAAAATTGTGAGTCGAACTGCAGCTCCAGTCTGCAGCTGCTACCTCTTATTATTGACATTGAACAGTATTAAAACATTTATCAATCCCAAGAAACACTACATGTTTATAGTACAGACAATGTAGCACATACTGAGAATAAACATACTGAGAATAATACAACAAATGAAATATTCGAAACTACAAAACTATCAATCTATTTCAACATGTTTGATGAGTTACTGATTATTGTTGTTCTGAATTACAGATTTCTTCTTCTATTATTACATTAATATATAATACTTCTGCAAGTTAGCTCAAAGATACATTATTTTCACTTATTAGCACAATTTGGAAATGAGAAAGATCTTTTTGCTGCTAGAAGTAGTTCACAACTTATATACACAGTTGAAGATTAGATTATTCACGACAGTAAAACGAAAAATATGAAACAAATTCTTTTTTTTAATGTAGTGGAAGGAGCTATAACCGGTTGTTGAATGGGATTATTTAGGATTTTAAACTTTGGAAATAGCTTTGAATAAATTCTGTTCATTGCTAAACAACATGAAGTTGTTTTCCTTTCTAAAATTTAGTAATAATGACAATCATGAATTAATTGAAGAAGAAAAGCTCAAAATGAGAACGGTTTCAGGAAAAAAACTGAAGAACTCTCAAAAATATTTGGAATTTATCAGAAAGAAGCCATTAAAATTCACTATGATGAAGTCTTGTGTAAAAATTAAAATAAACTATCATTTATGAGTCTGATGATCTGACTTTTACTATCAGAAATAGTCATTAATTTGGTTTTTATTTTTTCACTTATCACATTATCAAGCAAGGATATAAAGAACATTATAAAAAATGATGTCAATCAGTGAAAGATGGGTACTGTTCATTAACATTTTTGAACTGATGCAGATTAACAGGTTTTTGTAGTTGTTTGAAACTGTATGTTGTCTAAGGTACTACCCAGATATTGAGAATGACCTGAATGATGTCAATATTCTACTAACACAGTAAAAAGTGATACCAAATGATGAGTTCAAAAAAATATTTAGAAGAACAGATTGACTGAATTTATTGAAAAAGAATCTGGTTTTTGAGAACAATAAGAATAAATACATTTCTTGCTTGAAAAAAAAATGAATTTTTGAATTATATCTTCAACAATTTTTGAATTACACTGAAAATTTTGAATCTAAATATATTTATGTAATAGTTTCAAAACACAATTCCAGAAATAAATCTCGAATTTTTTGTTAATGTTAAAAAAGCCAATGTGATTTTTCAAAGTGTTTGAAAAAGTATATTGGTAGTTTTTTCAGATATATTTTCCTTCTTCTATATGATAAATAATCAACTGCAATACATGATACAGAGAATATTTGGATACTTATAAAGCTTCATCTCATCACTGAGTTTATTCCTTTTTTAGAAGTGCCCTTATCCTTTCTAAAACTACGCATTTGAAAAACAAAACTATTCTTCTAAGTGTTTGAAAGTGATGACAATGTTTCGTGGTGAATTTTACTAGTAAGGACTTCCGTTGTCTAATATGATTCGAAATCAAGTTACTTCATGACATTTCGATTGTTAGTATCCACAATCATCTTCGAGTGATGACTGGAATATTGCTCCAAGAGATGTAGGTCATTCGAGCTAACATTTGATACTAACAATCGAAACGTCGTGAAGTTACTTGATTTCGAATCATATTAGGTTCGTTCCAACCTTGAGTCACAAACAGATTTCCAACTGTTTGTAAATCGTTGACAACGCGCATGTCTGGAAAATATTGGTTTCTGATTCATTTGAAATTTCTGATTGGAACAGCTGATAGTTCAACTGAAGTTTGGCACGGAATTTCAACATAACCTTTAAAAATAATTTGGGAAAGAAAGTTTTTGGCTTTCTACTACTCCATCTTAATACAATAAAAGGGGATGAGGGAATCTTCCAAAGAAAAGAAGGAAGTAATCAATTTGAAAATAAGTAACTCTATACATGGAAGTGTAGATCATGCAAAGAAGTAACTTTCAGACACAAACTGAAAGAATGTCCTCCTGAAACAGCATACGCATGCGTCAGATTGATGGTTAGAAGATAATCCTCAAACCATTCTGATAGATTTCGAACAGGTTTGAATCTTGAATGGAACAGAAAACTGATAGTTTACTAATGGTTGGAAACTCACGTTGGAACGCAATCACATTACTGCGCAGAATCCTGACTGTCAGAAACTGTTTCTGACGCTGGTTGGAACGAACCTATTAGAATCATATTAGACAATGGAAGTCCGAAGTAGTAAATATTTTTCAAAGCGTTCATTGCCCTTGAAAAATAACGATGATTCTTACTCACCTCCTCTTCGCTGCAGTCTGGCCTCTGTTCCGCTATAACACATATCCTCTCATCTCTGAGCACCCTAATACTAAACACTGCTATCCTGCCACGGTAAATGAATTTCATGGGTTCCACAGCCAGAACGGTAGCAATTATGTCATCGGCGTTATGTTTTCGACCAGTCACTGTCATCAGACCATCTCGGGAACCACAGACGAACACCAGTCCTCCGGGCCCTAAGAATCCTAGCAAGCCGGACCTGGTATACTCTGCGTCCGATAATGGTTTACCGTCCGTTCCAAGAGGTTGGACTTTGAAAGTATTATTGCTGAGACCTTGTAAACCCCAGTACTGAGTGCCTGTGGCTCCGGAATTGACACATATTTCTCCTACTTCGTCTGTCTTGCAGAGATAAGAAGGCCCTTCAAGTTTTACTACTACTATCACACATCCTGAAAACGACAAATTCGTCAAGCCTCAGCATTCAAAATTAGTTTTAATTGGGGCAAACTTTGGTATAATTTCAACTATATTGCTGTACTTTTTATAAACAATGGTATTAATGTTCCAAATGTTTAAAAGCTTGTTGAAAAAAAATTGAATTTTTGTTCGTTGTGCATTCAGTTTTCTAAATCAACTTTATTCAAGATAGCTGAGTAATAATATTACTAATATAATGATAATTCAACAATATTTATTCACCATTATTGATACATGAGCTATATATGAGTAAAAGAGTTGTTTAAATATGCATATTTATATGTTTCTACAGGCTGATTTACGGTGGATGGCACATTAGACGTTTCAGGTGGACCAGACACCAGATCACTTTGAAAATTCAATGGAGAGCATATTCGGACATTCTCTACTGAACTAAAATACTTTTGACAGTGGTGTTGCCACTTCCATTAGAAAGTAGTACAACTTTGATTTTTTAAATGGAACACCAAAAAATGCCCGACAACTTCTCTTGATATTTCCCTGTACCTATCTGTTACCGTTTTCGAAATATGAATTAATTAAATTTTTTTTTTCGGAAATCATATCTCTAAATATGCTCATATCTTTGAGTTGAGGAATACTACGGTACCAAAATTTGGTTTGGAGTTAGGTAATACTTGGAGGCTTCCCACATCTTAGTTAATCTCTGTTACTTCAATACAGGGTGGTACATATCTGAAAGTTGATTATTTCAATTGGAACACCCTGTGTATTATGACAAATTTCTCTAGTCTATGAGAACATGCAAAACATGTTCCTCGTAGCAAACTAATTTAGTCTGTTTGGTTTGACCAACATATTTCTTATCACAATTCTCGCAGCTCATTTCATAAATCCCAGACTTTTCTTTTTCCGACGTCTTATCTCTCGGACTGCCCAATACTTGTTGAAGTGTACATGCAGTTTTGAAAGCCACTCTTATATTCAATTTTTTGAATGTTCAGACCAACCCATTGGTGTATTTAGGTTCATATAGAAGGACTATGAATTTTGAATTTTCCTCTTTTCGAAAAGTCAAGGCATTACGATACTCCCTAAATGTTTGTTTTCTAATTAATTTATCCACTATGTTTGATGGATACACCTCCTTAACAACTTTTTTCTCAATATCATACCTTTCTTTGCTCAAGGGAAATGTGAGCAGTCTATGGACAAGAAATTGTAGTCCCGCCAGGTATATCTCTAACAACTCCCATCATTGCCCACAATAAAAAATGACGGCCGATTACGATATATAAACGCTATCTAGGAGCATATTGATATAGTCAAGTTGAAGTGACAGTGCGGAATATGTTTATAAAAACAATATAAACATATTCACTAAGAAAATAACTATTCTCTTGAGTAGAAAGGAAATTACCTGGCATCACTTGTCCACAGTCTTGTAACGTAAGAGAGGTAAGGCTGTTCTCCTGATCAACTCGAACAACTCCAAAACTGAGTCCCTGCATGGAGAGCACGCCTCGACCCGTGGCATTGACTCCGCCTCTTCCCGGTCTTCGAACAGACACTGTTAGTACCTCGCTAGAGCTGGCACAAGGACAGATGGCATCCGCCCTGAGTCCCTTCGACTGAAATACTGATAAAAACTGGTCACATGAGCTGAGAGACCACGGGTTCGCTCCGTCTGCTACCAGTAGCATTCGCAGTGATCCCAAGTTGATGTCCTTGTGGTCTTTGGTAGCAAGCAGGCCCCAGTGAAGATCCCTGGACTTGACGACTGCCACACAGGCCCTGTGCTTGGTAATCATTTGCATCCAGCTGGCAGGGTTAACTTTCATGAGCGCGTATGGGATGTATATTACATGCATACCATTCAGGATACTTGTCAAGACCGAATGCCACATTCCCACCTCTCGTTTGAAGTCTAAGACGCAAACCATGTTCTCGCCTTCGGTGTAGTTGCAAGACATTGTTAACATCCTGCAGTGTTGTACCATTGCGGCGCGGGTTATTGTGACACCCATGACAGAACCATCTCGGTCTGTGCTGTACTCAATGTATGCAGGTGTCTCGTCAGTTAACCTGAAAACGAAAATATAAATTGTCAGTACCTGATAAACTGCAGTTCAATGAATCACAATAACAATTTTGTTCATCTGACTATTGACTGAAGTTCTTCCACCTTTTGTGGTTCAATTTTTTTTCATAATCTTTCCTTTTACTTTTCATATTCACGTTATATTTTACTTTGGTATAACAAATATGTGAGGTGAAGATATATCTCAATCTACAATTGTTCAATTATTTTTCAAAAGTCAGTTAACGTAGTCTGAAAGACACAACCAATGTGGTTGATTTAGTCAACGCTTACGCCAGCTTAAAGTAATTGAAACCACTTTGCTGCTGAATGAGACTGTTATTGTTGAATCCAGTCCCGGGTAAAATTGAAACGCTTTTTTTTGCTGAATGTTTAGAGTGCATAATCTGACAGTTGACAGTTCTAATTTGGTGTACATGAAACCCTTTGCAATAAAATTTCCAAACTGACATATCATTAAGAACCAATATGATGAAATCACAATAGAAATAATATTGCTCTTCAAAGTTTGCTGATTACATATTCCATTTGCTTTTAAAAATTTGACATAACAAATGATAAAATAATATACTGTTCAGTTGATTCAAAAAGCGCTTTTATGCTACATTCAGCACAGCACTTTAAACAGTAACATGTGGAATTGTGTCAAGGACAATTTTTTAATACTACAGCGGGTTACATTCACATGCCCCACCAAATGTATTTTGAAAAATACTAAATGTCAAGATTCTACTTGTCAAATTACACTGAATGTTTTGAAAAAAATTACAAATATTCTTCAAATCAATTTGAAAAAATATTTATTGTTCCTATTGATATATTCAATGATAAGTGCATTTATGTGAATGATAACAATCATATTCAATCATATATATTTTTCAAGTTTCAGTACTGATTTATCTATTTTTTTTGTGCTCTATTCATGGTTAGTTATAGTTTTTTGTATATTGTTTTTTTTTTCTCTCTACTATAAACATTGTGTTTCTTGGGAAAATAAATCGATACTATAAGTAAATGCCACCCTATTTTAAAAGTAACCAAAAATAGTTTTTAATTCAACCGCTATTAGTTCTGGTTGATAGAAGTTGAATGTATTGAAAGTGAGACATATTTGACTGCAAAATTCAAAAGGAATTCCTCCCTGAAATTGTTGAAGGTCTCTGGACACTATCTGCCATCTTGAAACAACACAAAAACCCTGAACGACCCAAAATTTCCATTACTTATTGCTGATGAAGGTAGGTCTAATTGAAACCGGCGCTCAGTTTGTACTGTTCTTCCGCACCACTGGCCCCAAAAAGGCCCCCGCAATCTTGTTGCAACCAATGTGGCTCACATTGGGGCCATGTGCACTGAACGTGTTAGGATGCGAATAAAAATATTATAGTCTAATTACCAAATCAATAAACTGAATGAGTGTTGTAGTGAATTCCTAAACTCATTTCCGTTTTGGTGAGATAAAATTCTGGTGTATTCTCTGATTCGATTTTATTTGACAAAAGCTTTTTGCTTTTGTTGATAGATGGTGCAAGAGTCGAATTCAGTCACATTTTATTTTTATATTTCCTACTAGTTAAACAACATCATAATCATGCCTCAGCCATCGTATTCATCAGATATGGCCCCCTGCGACTTTTTCCTGTTTCCAAGATTGAAAAAACCCATGAAAGGACAACGTTTTGCAAAGATTGAGGAGATAAGAATTCAAATTTCTGAGATAGCTCATGGACATACCAAAAAGTGTATATCAGAACTGCTTTGACACCCTGGCACAAGTGTATTATATGTGAGGATGACTACTTTGAAGGGGACAAAATAGAAATGGATGAATAAATAAAAATATTTTTTGAGAAAAATGAAGATTTACCTCTTTTTTTTGAACAGATAGCGAATATATAGCGAAATATTGAATTCTTGTGTATTCTCCCCAATTTCGGTGTTCAGAGTCTAAAGTCCGTTGTAGTGTTCTTAGCGATATACGTGATAGAAAATTTACTCTTATTAGTATATTATCAACATCTTTATCAAGAAATTACTAGGTTATATACGTGTTTTTTTAAATTTGAAATGTAAAAATATCCGAGAGATTACATCAGGTTTTTATTCATCTTTGTGGGGGTGGTTATGAACATTAACAGTATTTGACAAGTAGGAAATCTAATATTATCTTGCAATCAACGTAAAAAAAAGCATTATTGTAAAATAAGTGTATGAAAAAGAAAATGTTTCAATTTGAGGAAACGACTATTGATATCAAGTCTCTTTACCTGGGAGTCGGAGACCAGTCTTTCGGAGTTCGGGCTAGATGTTCGGTAACGAACCATGTCAATTTCGGCCAGCCTTTGAACTGTATCACTTCTCCGGATGTTGTTTTCGGCAGGCCCTTCAAACACGCTTCTGAAGTAAGTGCCACTTGTACAGCACAACTGCCCAGAAGGAATCCGATCTGTAAGGATCCGGCATCTCTTCTAGTGATCGGTACTTCGATGGGCACAGGAACGATGCCTGCTTGCAAGCAGCCATAGAAAGCGCAGAGGAAGTTTATCGGATCGTTATTTGGATAGACTAGGGCTACACGGTCACCGGATTTTAAACTAGTATCACCATTTTTGCTAAAGGATTTGGTCAGAAGTGCGTATGCTATTTTGTGCGAGCGACTAAGAAGTTTACCTGTAACATGAAATAAATACTATAGATATTAGCAGCACATATGATGATTCAGTTACTGATATAAGGCTTTCTGAACAATATTGTATATTTCTGTCATAGTTCATTATTGCGGGAAAAAAGATTTTGACTTTTTACTTCTTCATCTTTACAAAAATGTGGGAAACTATCAAAAGAATATGAAAATCGATGTAAAGAAAAATTTTTTCCTATTCAGTTTGTACTCCTTGAATTATTTATGTAATTAAATCAGTAGGCTACCCAATATATGTAGAATATGAAAACCATTTCTGAATGTAACAAAAAAATATTCATAAAAAAAAATTACAATGAAAGTAATAAACCCTTTGTGGAAATTATTTAAGTTCTATAACATCCCTTATTTGTTAGTATAACCTCAAGCCATCTCTTAGAAAGTACAATATGTAAGTCTTTGAAATTTTGAGGCAATGTAGTGAAAAATTTCTTGAATGTTGATGTTTTTTTAAATTTCAAAATACTTAATGAATATTTACTTTGTGTTGTATAGTTATGAACAACTGATTTATGTCTCATTATATTCCAGATAGAATAGTACATCATATATAATATGCTCCTCAACTATAACTTTTTTGTCTCTCCTAATATCAATATCTATTTTGATGGTAACATGATTTGTATTGAGTGACTCTAAATTATTTCTTGTAGCATTTCCGATTTTACAGATAAGTATCCCAATTTTTGAAATTCAAATGGAATAAACACCAAGCTTTTTATACATTTTTGGATGGAAGAAAACTGAATACTTTTTGTTTGAAAAAAATATTGAGTCCAAGAGCAACACAGAGACCATTTGCTTTGCTCAAAGGATCTGTTGGAAATCATTTCAGTACCTCTGCAGCTAAATTAATAGTTAATGTGTAATTTTATGACACAATTTATAGAAGTTGCCCCTTGTTTTGATGAAACTGTTTATATGATTCATAATTTACAAGACATAAGTACAAGTATAATGTTAAGTATTCTTTGAAGATACCTCTAAGCCACAATACCTCGGAATTTCAATAGAACTGACTGATCCAATATTGGATTATCCAATATTGACAAACAAGTACATATGTATCATTCACTGCATATCTTCTTGAAACTTTATTTTTGTATATACAATAGCTCTTTTTTCTTATAAAGCCTTCCCGTTATCTTACTTCTTGTATTAAAATTCTATATTTATCAATATGTTCTTGGGACTTGTCTTACTAATATCTGCTAATCATTCTATTTTACTTCAAGAAGGATGCTGTCTGAGATATATTTTTTTGGTTTCCTTTTTATAGTTTTATTGCTTTCATTAAATTTAGGATCCTTGGATGTCGTTGTTATTTTGATTCTATTCCAACTTCCACCACCCAACCTTGTCGAAGTTGTCGAGTTTAATCACCTTTTTAAACTAAGATTTGCTAATTCCAATAACTTTATATAACTGCTGGTGAATTTGCTGTAATGACCTAAAAAACATGTTCTTTTCTTCAGTGAATAAACATTAGATAGAAGCTCTGAAATCTCTCGCAAAAAAGGCTAGTTAGCATATATCAAATTTTGCTACTCTTGCCTTTTGCTACTCGTAATAGCAATTATATCCTTAGACTTTCCATCCCAACTTCGAATTTAATCAAGGATTCCATATACTATAATGGTGGTAAATTGTTCAATCATTTACTATTAGAAATGAGATCTGCAAATTTAAGCAATATTCATTTCAAAAAGGCGGTGAAGGACCTACTTGTTGATAAACTCTCCGGTTTTTAAATTGGCACATGCGCATTGTGAACTGTAAATTCAGGTACTCAATCAAGTACCTGTATGGTATATATTAGCGAATGTAATGAATCATTCTTAGTTTATTGTTTAAGTTTGAAAATGTCCATATAGGACGAAACTGCAGTAACGTTAGTCACAAATAAAAGTGGTAAAAAATATAGAAATTTTCATTTCTCTTTTCATAATAACGAAAAAATTAAAATTCTCAAAGAAATCAAGAATGTATTGGGTAGGAAATGTGAATTACACTATTTAGGGGTCTTTTCATGATAAATCCTCCATTGTTAAACCCTGCAAGTTGAAAACGTCAAATTCGAGTTTATTCATTGGGATATTATAAACAGTAAGAGGTAAGAGATAGATAGTATGTTGAATTGTGGCAAAGTTGTCTATTTTCAGGAACTACTGAATTATATCAAAGAACTGACCTGGCTTCTTTGATTACAACAATATAAAGAAAAAAACTAAAGATTTCAGAATTCTATTTTTTGAAGGATTAAATAACGCGGAGGCCAAAATTAACGCTGTCTCTACATGCCATAGGTCTCAACAATAGTGATGGGCTAACGTGGGATGACACCAATAAAAGTTGCTGACACAGCTGATCGTAATGAAGATAAAGCAAAAAACAGAATAAAGAAAATTTCATTTTTTATCGTTTACCTCTGGAACCAAAGAGGCTCGATTCGACTTTTCTATATCATTCAATAGTGCTCAAAAACAAGAAACTTTGCCACATTTAACATACTCTCTACATCTCAACCATCAACTAGATCCCCACATACTCGTATATTATTTGAACTGTAGCACAAACAATAGGCTGTGGAATTATGACGGATATATCGACTTTATTTGTTAAAATTCCCTCGATTCTGAACCACAATTTATTTCAGTGGAATTTTCAATATGTTCTATTAATTTTAATAAAACCAGTGTTTTTGAGTCAACAGTCGAGAAAACAAATGAAAACAATTAGTTTCAACTGTAATTTTACAATTGTATTTCTGAATAATCTAGTCATATCTTTAGGTACCTCAATCAAAAATGAAGTCCTTGAAATATCTGAACCATACCAGTGTAACTTACCATAAGTTAATGTTACTGTTAATTTTCCATTGGGATCTAAAACAGTTGCTACTGGTGCTTTGAAAGTTGCATTCCCATATCTAGTGATAGCTGCCTCTAAACTCCTGGGAAGCCCAGAAGGCACAACCAGTTGTTCACCAACTGCTGGGCTCATTGAGCTTCCTGAAATATAAAAAAACATTAGAATAAGGACGAAAAATACTTAAAAAGTACTACCGTACCTGTGATATTACTATATAAATACCAAATTTTGAACAACCCAATATTGGTACTTGTCAGATAATGAAACAAGATGATTTTGCTTGTCCATATAAAACTGATCTGAATAGAAATCAGTGCAATTATTCATGTTTAGAATTCTAAGAATGATAATATGTCTCTTCCGAATGATGGTTTATCATGATTTACTCGGAATTTCCTGTAGGTTTTGCTCATTTAGAAACCACCGATATTCATGAGATAATATTCTTGGTCGCATTGGCGTGTTCAAAATGGATTTTTTTGGGAGAGGTGACAGATTGACAGATTTATCGTTTTTCAGAAATTGGAACCAATATCAAGTGAGTCAAATTCAACTAAAAGTTCTAAAGTGATTAGAGATAAAACTACGAAAGCAATCATTTTGGAGATATACGAGATATATGGTGTATGGAATATATAAAAAAAAAACATTTTCACTTTAGCAGAATGTGATAGAAATTGAGTATCTAATTTTTTTGGTGATCAACGTTCAGTTATTGACAGTTCTTCAACATTATTTTGTATGATAATTATTTTGTCATAATTTAGCCTCAAGTGTCATCACTATATAATATAGTATAAAACAATGTCTGTCTGAACACAATATACTTGAAAACTTCTGAACATATTTTCATACGGTTTTCACTAATGATCGGATTCTATGGAAAGTTTAAAATGAAAAATTTGATAATGTTTTGTATGAATACGTTGGAATACGATGATGTTATCCGTGATAAGAAGTCAGGGCGGTGGTGTTATCCGGAAAGATTTCATTGTAAAACACAGCCTAAGAGACATTAAAAAACAATTCACTACATATCATCTTTTTTCCATAGGTCTTTAAGGAATCCTTGATGGCATATGCCCATCTTTCAAGAATAGCTTTCTAGGCCTATTTCAATATTCAAAATATTTCACATGTAATGTGGTGATTGGAAAGCAATATTGATTCTTTTTAAAATGAATAAATATGTGTCTTTAGCATTTCATGCACAATTTGTTAGAAAAAATAAATTAAAGTGGCCTCACAAACCGATGCTACACATGTTATAACGAAAGGTTTAGAACTGAACGCATTTTTTATTTCGCTGCTATTACCTTCAATGAATTTAGGTTTGTTGCAGAAAAGTGGTACTTTAGTTTGTTTAGTTTTGTTTGACTAGTTTCTCGATCAAATTAGTGATATTGGTCGCAGATTTGTTAGATTATTTCTGTCACCCCCTTTATTTAATTGTATGACTACTGATGTTTTCAGGTACAAAGGAAAATACTCGAGAAATATTAATCAAACGTGAGTTTTGAAAAATGTTCATCAAGATATTATTTCGGAAAGTTTTTGTTTGTAATTACTTTTATTCATACATTTTGAAAACGCCTGAAGAAGTGTTCATAATGCATAATATAGTGAAACTAGTGTTGTGTTTTGTGAACTGTTCAGTGAAAATCTCAATAAAAAATTCAATGTTGTTCAATGTAAAAAACTGTATAATTTTTCAGTGTATTTTGCCTTATATTCCTTTGGGTAGTGGCCTAAAAACATTTATATACTAAGTTTTAAGGGATATACATGGATGAATACTAAATTTTCAAAGTCATGTTTAGACAGCTAGGATCAAGGATCGTTATGCACTGTTATAGTTGCAAACAAGCTTGGTACAGCAACAGCAACAAAGTACCATGCCTTGATCGAATCTCATATTCGTTATGGAGTTGCTTTCTGGGGAGTTAGTAACCAAGAATCTTCAACCTAATCTTTGTTCTACATTAGCTAGATATTCGTTATCTTTTTGAAGTAAGACCAAGGGTATCTAGTGAATAATTATTTGAGGCTCAAAAGTTTTACCTCCACCAACTTTATCAATTTTCGAAACAGTCTGTTTAGTATTAAAAAACCAATCAATATACAACAAGATCACTGATGAAGAAATGGCATAAAACTACCGATTCCATAAACGAATTTAATCAAATAGTCATGCATTTATAGGGCTGCTAAAATAGATAATCATCTACCTACATAAATTAAACACTCTGAAACTTATACTATGTTCGGAAAAAATCTGAAAAGTTATCTTGTGACAGTGTTTATTAGCTGACTCATCACATCAGTGTTTATTATTGTCATGTTGTATTTCATTTATATTATAATCTACTAGATTAATATTTACTGTTATTGTTATATATTTTGAACCTATATCTTATGAATCACAGTATAACAAGGCATATGCACGTTTATGCTTTGTCATTAAGATTTTCATTCTTCAGAAAATAAAGTATATTTTGAATTTGAAAAAAAGTGTTACTTGAAAACTGTATGATCACGCCTGAAGAAGCTTTTATATTGTTTGTTTAGGTTTTGCAATTTAGTAAAAATTAGACGGCAACGGCGGCTTAGACGAAAAAAAAAACAAGAAGGAATCAGAAACAAAAAAAAAATAGAAAACAGAATTATTAACCAAAATTTCATTGAAAAAATCAATTACCTTCTGGTTTGGGGGCGTTGGGGTCCTTGGGATTGGCTGCTATTTCCAGTTCAATGTCATCGTCCTCGTAGAACTCTGGAAGTGGTCGTCGTTTTGGCCTTTTTAGAGTATTGAGCAGTTGTTGGATTTTGGTCGAAACTTTCCATCGTCCGGTACCAGTGCCGATGGTGTCATCAGAAGTCGAGGAGGCATATCTGTTTACCCTATCTGCTGCTGCCCTTCTACCTCCCTGACCTTGAACCGTGTTGTGGGTGACGTCTGGAGGTTGCGAATCTGCGAGAGAGATTAGGAGAGGTTATTGAGCAGTCACACAATAGCTGCGTTTTTTGATGAAAGACTGCAGGATTGTGAACAAGACTGCAGATATATGCATCATGAAACTGTAAACTGAGAGATTTAATTTGAGTTAATCTGAGAACCATTTACAACATTTTAACGAACAAAAGTCATTTTTGTAGAGGAAACCAGAGTTTTTATCGACATTCTTTGGGTATTTTTACTTTTCATTGTAATGGAGAACTTAATACATGTGTAAAAAGAGTAAAATTTTTTCATAAACTACACCTTACAATTTGATATCCACAAACTTGATCTGACAAATATATCACGACATGTTTCGCTAACACAGTAGCTTCTTCAACAGTGATTTGAATATTGAAATCATTGTTGAAGAAGCTACAAACTCTATTTGTGAAATCATGTTTCGCTAACACAGTATTCAAATCACTGTTGAAGAAGCACTGTGTTAGCGAAACATATGATACATTTCTCAAATAAAGTTTGTAGCTTCTTCAACAGTGATTTGAATATTCAAAGCTACAATGTTAGCAAAACATGATATCTCAAATAAAGTTTGTAGCTTTGAATATTCAAATCACTGTTGAAGAAGCTACAAACTTTATTTGAGAAATGTATCACATGTTTCGCTAACACAGTGCTTCTTCAACAGTGATTTGAATACTGTGTTAGCGAAACATGATTTCACAAATAGAATTTATAGCTTCTTCAACAATGATTTGAATATTCAAATTACTGTTGAAGAAGCTACAAACTATATTTGAGAAATATATCACATGTTTCCACAGCAGCTTCTTCAACAGTGATTTGACTACTGTGTTTGCGAAACATGATTTCTCAAATAAAATTTGTAGCTTGAAGTTACTGTGTTAGCGAAACATGTCGTGATATATTTCTCAAATAAAGTTTGTAGATTCTTCAACAGTGATTTTGAATATTCAAGAATATTGAAGAAGCTACTTCAACAGTGAATAGAATACTGTGATTGGAATACGGTGTTAACGAAACATGATTTCTCGAATAAAGTTTGTAGATTCTTCAACAGTGATTTGAATATTCAAATTACCGTTGAAGAAGCTACAAACTTTATTATATTATGACATGTTTCGTTAACACAGTAGCTTCTTCAACAGTGATTTGAATACTGTTGAAGAAGCTACTGTGTTAGCGAAACATGTCCTGATATTTTTCTCAAATAAAGATTTGAATATTCAAATCAATGTTGAAGAAGCTACTGCGTTAGCAAAACAATATTCAATATTGAATATTAAATATTCAAATCACTGTTTTGTGATTTGAATATTCAAATCACTGTTGAAGAAGCTATTGTGTTAGCAAAACATGTCGTGATATATTTCTCAAGTTTGTAGCTTCTTCAAAAGTGATTTGAATATTCAAATCACACTACTTGGGATATTTTCAGTTCAATGTTGTGTTGGAGTTATATCACATGAATAAAGTCGTTACTTACATGGTCGCAAATTTTGTAGAATCTCAGTAATTTCAGTTATTTCCTGATTTCTTTTGTCGTCGAAATTGTTCGGGGGCGGCAATCGAGGCCTGTGATGCAATGGCGGCGGGGATCCCGTGCTGCTGGTATCGGAAGGGGGTGGTGGGGGAAACATTTGAAGACCGCTTCTGTCTCTCACCTTTTCCCTTTCTGGCGTACTTTCTATTGTTTCCTCGTTAACGATGCTGTCTTCGTCAGAGGATGACTCTGAAAACAAAATCATTTACTGACCAGTACTGTGGGGATTAACGAAAAATATGAAACAACTGTTTGCATATTTGCAAGTGAAACTTGGTTGAAGAATGATTTATTCAATTACTACCACACTAAACTAGAATTGAAAAGTAAATATTGTAGAAAAACTAGGAAACATTGAAGGGTGGCAATATTCATAAGGAATAACTTGAAACCTAAAGCAATTAATGTACAAAATTATAGTATGAAGATGGATGCACTGTTAAATGATCTATAAACAAAATAACAGAGACTAGCAACTTTTGATGATTTTAAAATGCATTTTTTATCTAATCGAAATGAAAAATCCTCCTGATTTATAGTTTATTGTGTATTGTGTATCGATAACACATGTGTAAAGTATGAACAATTCAAATCTAAAGTTAAAAAAAACTATACTGGATCACTATGAACAATACCTAAATTTCAAGATCAATGATAACTAAGACAATATTATAGATTCGGGCTAGACCGCTAAGCACAGATGAAATTGGTAAATTCAAATTTATCTCAAGTAAGTAGATTGGTAGGTAGGTACACAGTATGAACCATGACCGGTGGGGGTTCGCCGCGCTGCGCAAACCAAGGGTCTGTGTTAGAGAGAGAGAGAGAAAGTATTCGAAATAAAGATGTAAACAAGTATTAAACGGTATGAATTTTGTGCGCAATAAGGGGGCGGTATTTATGACCGGCCATGGTTCATTCTGTGTATAACTATATTCAGGGTGTTTCAAATTCGATCCTCACCATTGGCATCTCGGAAACTATGAGAGATACGAAGATGGTTAAATTGGAGCGCATTTACCTGACTAACAATATGCCGTTGAGAAAGTTCTGAAATTCCGAGTATATCCGGAGATATCCGAAAAAAAAACAGAAATTTCGGAAAACAGTTTTTACTTTTTTCTGGCTTTATTTTTCGAAAGATTCGAAAATAAATTGCACTTCCACGGTATCACTTTTTCCCTGCTACATAATAGTGTTTTCAGATTTGCTATCCGACGTTTCGTCTTCCGGCCACCACCATCAACTTTATTTTTTCTTAGGGGCGCTACATCGAATTCTTTCTGTTTTGAATAGAACCAGATTTTACATATTCAAGATGTATCATAAGTTATCATTCTTTTTCGAAAAATTGGAGATATTGAAAAATATATTTCTTATCATAATAGGTTTTGACTTTGATGTTTCTGAATTTGACTTTCAATTTGTTACAGTCAATGACATTTTGTTATTGTACAAGTCGTTGAATTTTTCAAAAAAAAGAGATATGATACAAATATGATTCACAATAATTCATAGAATAAATTGAGGATGTATAGTTGCGAGACGAGATATTTTAGTATAATTCGACGTATCCTCGTTGTTTCAAAGTGTCCCTATACCAGAAACTAATGAATATTTGAGGGATCTTATGAGGGTTAACGGTTTTAGTGGATACTACACGCAATCAACAAACATCTTCAAGGAACCTAATTGCTTCCAGTTCAACAACTGCATGGCAACTGCAAACCCACTGCTCCTCTTTATAGCATGAGCATATAGTTCATGAGCAAAAAGGAAAGAAAGTCTGTCTGTTATGTTTTTCCGTTAATCAGCTGTCGCCCCCATACGAACGACAACTCTCAGAAGTCGAGAAACTTGTGCGAGCTAAGGACTAATAATGATAATAATAATAATAGCTTTCTTGTCCAACAGTTACCCATTTACAGGACAATATAAAATTTCAGGGCTCCAGAAATATTTAATTCGATTCCGGAAAACATAAAAAATAGTACCTCAATTGTAATTTTCAAACGAAATCTGAAAAAGATTTTCTAGTGCCAAATTGCTTTTACTCCATAAAACAGTTTTTAGAACATCACTTCTGAGGGAATTTTTTTTTCTCATCTATTTATGTACTTATTTGCTTTTGATTATCTGTTATATGTAACCGTTTGTATGTTTTTTATGCGGTGTTTGCTATTCGTTTGTTGATGGTATATGCACTTTGTATGAAACCCTTCCTTTGACTTTTTCCATACAGCCTGTACTGTCTCAAGGAAATAAAATCATATTATTATTATTATTATAAAGCACCAAACATTGCTGAGGTGTGTATAGTTTTCAGCCTTTTCAGCCTTTTCAATTCCAGCGACATGATTGTGCCAATACATGTTGATGTCCATTATAACCTCCAACAAACTTATCGAAGAAGAAAGCGGAATTGTCTGCTCTGATATTATTATATCCGGTTCGAAGACATTTATCTTTTTGGAGAAAACCAATGACTGGGTTTTTGTGGCATTGAATTAAACCTGGTTACTTTCGCCCCAATTCGAAATTACTTCTAGATACTCATTAAGATATGCAACCTCCTGCTGCCGGTGAAGATGTGCATCCGCAGCTGATGTCCTGAAATCCAAATGGAATGACAAGACAAGCGTGTTGTCGTCAGCAAATCAATATATTGGTTTTTTTGTTTTTTTTTCAATAAGTCCTTGATATACAATAAAAAACAGGTTTGGAGACAATATGGATCCCTGGGGAACACCAGCGTTGATGGTAAAAGTATTCGAGAGATATCTATCGTCGGCCACTTGCAGGGAACGTTCTTTAAGGAAGCTGGTGAAAGGCTAATCGGGAAAATATTGCAGTTCTGGTATTTGCAAAAAATTATTTACTTTGAACAGATATTGAAAACAATGAAGAGTTACCATTCTTGGATGTCTTAGTAATTATATTTTTTCATAAACTGAACCCCACGATTTGGTCTTCACAAACTTCATTTTCAGAAATATATCATGACATGTTTCGCTATCACAGTAACTTTTTCGTATCTACGATATATTTTTGAAATTAAAGTTTGTCAAGCATTTGATGTCTACAGGAAGAATACTAAGTACTTTCAGATATATTCCTAATAGCTCATACCATTGTCCACAACACAAAATGACAGGACTGAACTTTCTTGTCTATAGGCTTGTTACGTTCCCCTTGATCAATGAAAGATACGATATCAAGAAAAATGTTGCTGAAAGCAACGGATCTCCTTCAATTATAGCAGTTAAGTTAATAAGGAACCATGAATGAATTTAGGGTGAATCTCCTTGAATGATCAACTTTTCGAATAGGCATTAATTCAAAGTTCATTGTCCGTTCGCATGAACTAAAGTACCTTAACGGATTATATCGAATTTTTGAAAAGTTGAAACGTGAAAGTAGCCTTCTAAACTTTTAGGTTACTTCAAAAATTATTAGATATAGTCGAAGTAAACGATATTGTGCACATTTAAAGGTGGCGGCACTCTCAAAGGCCAAACGAACCAATGCATAGAAATGAACCGGCAGCGAACTAGTCCACGAGTAGTGTAGACTTGACGTTTCGTATTGGATAATTTTTACTAACCGAGTTTTTTGATTGGCTGAAGAGTCATAAAATTGAATTTGAAGTCATGTTACGGTAACGAATAGAAATCGGGAATGCGGGGATAGTTATCGCCGTCGTGTTCAGTTCAGGAACTGATCGCGATTTGAGTGTTGAAATTCGATATTGGTGCAGTTATAATTACTTACAATTTTTGTTATCTGTTTAAAATGTGGCATCCTTGTACAATTACTAATAGTAATAACGAGTGTGTGAACAACGCAGACTTTCCCAGTGTAGTGATTCCAATAGCGATGGTGAACAATGCGGAAAAGAGATAACCAGTGAATGAGATTCGGATGCATTTGAATATTGAAACACAGAGAGTATGTTTCAATGTATATAAGAATCTACATTTCAAGTTTGGTTTCGAGGGAAACAAACTATTATAAGCAACATCAGATTTGACAGAAACTCCTTTCTCAAATGTACGTAAAATAGTCAAAAATAAACTTTATGAACGCAAGACGTGATGTGATACAGAATTACCAAAACCTTTTGAGGTTCATCTAATAAAATCATTGAAAAAAACAATATACGACCGTTACAAAAGCAATGAGATTCCTACAACTGAAATCATAGGGAAGAAATTGAATACTCTGGATATAACGTGAGCTGCTGTGACAAAACTCTTCAGAATTGGATAAAGAAACTAGGATTTAGATTTAAAATAATAAACAAACGTTAAGCAGTTATGGAAAGCAGAAAAATAGTGGAATTGCGTAACAAATACTTAGAACAAATAACTAAATATNACTCAAACGTAATAGCTTCATTTGAAAGTAATGGGATACTGATTAGCGCTTTCGATCTCAAGGATTATAATCGTTTTCAACAGTTACCATTAAAAAACTAATCATACTTAAACTTGACGGTAAACTTCTTCGATATTGGATATCTAATTGGTTATTCCAAATATTTGTCTCACGGCTCATTGAAATAAATAAGATTTTCGAAGTAGTTTCTCGCAAAGTTAAACCGCCAAAGAAAATGAGAATGCTGGAATATTTTGCAAGAAAATGCTTTCTTTGCAGAACTCAAGATAATTATATTTCCAAGAAAAGGGCATGAAACTTTATGGTAATGAAGTTGGATTTTATTTCTGCTGAGATATTCTTGAATTTGTGAGAGATGCAAATTTAAAAACAATATGAATGCAAAACGGAAGTGTTATTAAATTCAAATTTTGCAACGTGATTTTTTACAAAATTATGCTCTGGAGCAGAATTGAACTATTTTCTATAATAAATCGTATATTTGGTAGATAGTACTAGAACCTCTGGCGTAAAATGAACCTAATGAAAACTCATTTTCTTCATTAGAACTAAACCACTATCTCTCTACAAGCGTTTCTCTAACTAAGTTACCATCATCAGGATAGACTAGAATATGATAGTTTTAGTCATCTCCTGATGGAGCTGACTTGCTTAGCGAAACGTCCGTCGACAGACAGTGTTTCAGTTCTGGTAAGGAAAAAGTGTTCATTACCATCACATACAGGCTGATTCACGGTGGATGGCACATTAGACGTTTCTGGTGAACCAGACAACGGATCACTTTGAAAATTTAATGGAGGGCATATTCGGACATTCTCTAGCCAACTAAAATATTTTCGACAATGCGGTGTTGCCGCTTCTATTAGAAAGCAGTAGCAACTTTGATTTTTCAAA